AGATGATGCCAACAATAGTTAGAGAAAAAAATCCAAGTTTTGATGCCAAAAGCTAGTAAAATTTGATTATGCACAGCCTGCTTAATGTTGAACTAGAACACTCCATCGTAAAGTAATAATTTTTTCAGCTTTCCATGGATTCCCACAGATGACTGATAAATCGAGGGAAGTCTGTCCTTAGCTATGTTGCTCGGACTCTTCAAAAATGTTGCCGCACCCTTGTCGGATCCTCCGAAATGCACCAAGTTTTGATGCCAAAAGCTAGTAAAATTTGATTATGCACAGCCTGCTTAATGTTGAACTAGAACACTCCATCGTAAAGTAATAATTTTTTCAGCTTTCCATGGATTCCCACAGATGACTGATAAATCGAGGGAAGTCTGTCCTTAGCTATGTTGCTCGGACTCTTCAAAAATGTTGCCGCACCCTTGTCGGATCCTCCGAAATGCACTACTTTTGGAAGAACCAACACGGACCTGGTGGCATTATTGAAGAGTTTGAGCAACATAGGTCCTTAGAATTCATAAACTGAGTGTATTAAAGGAGGGAAATCACTATGGCCTGTCCTGTTCCATCGTAATTCTAATAATTTTTCAGCGAAAATTCTAAACAAAAATAATATTTACTGAATAGCATGTCAATATGTATTATCCAGAAACGAATACGACTCAAAATAGCCTTGAAAGGATTGTCCGTTACTAATATTAATGACCCTGGTTGCTATAATCAAGATTGCAATAGTGAAAGGTCCTAATAGCATTAGATGTAGCTTTCTTCAAGCAAATTAATACAAGCTTCATCAATTCGACAAACTTCTGTCCTTCTGTCTTTTTGCCGCAACAACTAAAGTTTTTAGTGGAAAATAGTCTGCGGCTCCACGCATAAAATTACTTAAGGAGTCAGCCAAGATATTTGGGTGATCAGATCACTGCTAAAGCTCCAGGTTATTTCCGTAAGGGAGGAAGTTCCGTCTTTTCCACATTCACCAACTTGAGGAATCTAACTGCGGAACACTCTGTAATCTCATTTATCAAAAGTTGCTTGGCTGTTGAGCAGGTTATCATATCACTGCACAAAGCCCTATAAGAAACTTCCAATTTGATGCAAATGAATCTTAGCCTTACTTCACAGGCTAGAAATAGTTAACCTCACAGTAACGTAGCAGAACAACAGGCACTACCTAGTTTTAATTGCTCAGCGGCCTAACAAGAAAAGAAGTGTGGGTGAAAGAAATTTCTCTACTATCAAACAAAAGCTAGAGATTTGCAACCAGCTGGATGTTTGGGAATTCTTTTTATGACAATAACTTGCTGGACCTAACAAAATCGATTCGTATTCTCCTAGATGGTACAGATATTGTAATTCTCTAATTATATAATATGCGCAATACACCTATCCTATTTTATGTCCCATGTCCTCCCCGCGCCATGAAGCTAGTTTCTGTTAGCACCGAGCAAATGGATGCTATCGTTTCAGATTCATTTTAAAGTCAGTAGCCAAAAGCAGAACACCATCAACAAATATTCCATTTAGACCAACATACAACTATATCCTTGTAAAGAAATGGACCTTGGCTCTAACTTAACTCTAAAAGCTAGCTCAAGAGGTAAGTATTGGGTACGACCATATAAGGAGACAACATCCCATTTCATCATCAGCGTGAGACACTTAACACTCCCTCCGCCAAGGACCGGACATCTGGAGCGTCAGGGGTAGATGTAGCCTTATGGCTACGGGTTCATCTAAACCCATAACTATGGGCACAAAGCATAGATATAAGGTAAAAATCTACAAATATCTTTTTGATAAGGTAAATAATTTTATTAACAATTGGTGCTAACCCCGTACACAAGCCATATACCAAAAGAAGAAAACCTACCCAAAAAAGATAGGTTCTCAAGAAAGAAGGCCCAATCTTCTATACATATGGGGACCTCATGCGTACACCAAAAAGAAACAAGAAACAAAAGGCTATTTTGCTATTTTTCAATCTACTAATATCTTAACAAAAATTAGATATGAGCCCATACTTTTAAACGTATAACGATTTCAATGCTAAAAATCTTAAAAGTTGAACCCATTAAATTTAAATCGTGGATTCGCCTATGTGAAGTGTGGACAATATAACACGGGAACCCAACATTATGTAAATCAAGAATAGGAATGAGTCTAGCTTTGGTCTGATGTAAAGAAATGGACCTTAGGCCTAACTCTACAAACAAAAGCTAGATCAAAAGATGAGTATTGTACGAGTCCATATAAGGAGACAACAATCCATTTCTACACTAATGTGGGACACTTAACAATCCTATTTCACAATTTAACAGCTAAAAAGCAGAATACATCTCCCACAAAGGCTGCAGCGTACAATTTAAAAAAAGAAACACACACACATACACACACAAAAAAGGTAGTCTGGGGCACCAAGCATCCCGCATTTATGCGGAGAGGGCCGCACCCGAAGGGATGTGATGTAGGCAGCCTAACCTGATGCAAGCATCACTGCCTGATTCCACGGCTCGAACCCGTGACCTATACAAGGCTCCCTATTGCTCCACGGAGACACACACATACACACACAGAGAGAGGAAAAAGAGGAAGAGAAAAAAAGGTTACCTTATCAGCATCAACACCAACACTCAGCGTTGAGGCAGCAGGAATATCCTAAAAGAAAGCAAAAATGACGAACACCCAACATCAATTATGCAAAAAGAAAGCACATTTTTTGGTTAAAATAGTTTTTTATAGTGATAATTAACCACATAAATTACGAACCTCAACATCAGCAGAGACATTCTGGGCATCCAAAACTTCTGGAGAAGCAAAAACCTTAGACGTGGACGCTTTTGATTGGTTGAAAATCTGTATTTTAGTTTTAGCGGAATTTGAAGGTAAAGAAAGAAGAGAGAACTTGGATTGGGATGAAATGGTGGATGAATTACACACTGGGAAAAGAGCTGCTGAGAGTGAAGATGATGAAATTGCCATTTGGGTCTTTTACTCAGTGATAAGCAGAGGGAATAAAGCTACGAGAATTTTGCAATAGGCTTATCCGAAGAAGAGAAATATATGTTTATTTTCCTACTTATTATTTTGCAGAAAGCAGCGAATGATGTGGAAAAAGACAAAGAACAAGAAAGAATTGGGCCTCATAAGTTTCTATCCGTTAAAATATCATGGTATAGCCAGTTTTCACACTGGTCAATGAAAAATAGCCAGCGTTTATCAAGTCAATAAAAACTAGCCACTATTTTGCTATAACAGGAACCGGTCCAGTATAATATACGGGAGTTCTGGTGCATTTGTGTACGAACTCCAGCATATTATGCTGGACCGGTATACTTTGCTAACTCCTGTAAAATTTGCGGGAGACTGGAGCACCAGTGCTCCAAACTCCAGTATATTATACTGGACAATTATACTTGCTGGAACTCCCGTAAAATTTGCGGGAGTTCCAGCATATATGCTTGAACTCCCGTAAAATTTGCGGGAGTTCCAGCATAGTTATCCTGGAACTCCCGTAAAATTTACGGGAGTTCAAGCATACTTATGCTGGAACTCCCGTAAAATTTGCGGGCGTATTTTTCCAGATTTTGAACAGTGTTTTCGCTCAGATTTAAAGTGGCTAAATTTCGATGACTTTTGAAACTTGGCTATTTTTCAACGACCAGTGGTAAATCTGGCTATTTTTGAATTTCTCCCTTTCTATCCCCATTCCAATTTGCTTCTTTGGCCCAAATTTATGAAGTGCACCGGTGCTCCAATCTCCAGTATATTATACTGGAACTTTTCGCGTGTTGGAGTTCCAGCATAATATGCTGGAAGTTCATACACAAGTGCACCAATCTCTAGTATATTATGCTGGAACTTTCCGTGTTGCAGCAAAATAGTGGCTATTTTTCAATGACTTTGCAAACGCTGGCTATTTTTGCATGACCAGTCCGAAAACTGGCTAGCCCGTGCTATTTTAACACTCTAAAGGACTGCTATTTAGGAATTAGTCAGTGCATCCTGAATTTCAATATTTCAATTCAATTTTTTAAAGACAAAAGTGTCCTGTAAAATTTTTAGTTTAAAATATCAAGACAAGATAAGTACGGACTAATCTTAAATAGCATCCGCAAGAATGGCTATCTGTGCGCTTGCCCCGCCTAACTTCGTACCTAAAGGTTTGAAGAAGAAGTAACATATTCAATCTGAAATTTGCTAAAAATGTCTAAACATTAAATAGTTTTTAAAAGCAAAATATATTTTAAATACAAGTGCTACAAGCGGCTACCTAGTGTCATTTCTACCATTTTGGACAATATTTGAATTGAAGCTGAAAAAATGTTCTTAAAATTGAAGATTGAAGTTGAAAAAACTTCATAATAGTTGAGATTGTGTTAGGACACGAACTTCAATTGAGAAAAAAGTTTATGAACATTAAAAATTTGTTTCACAACATTTTACTTGAAATACCCATTTAAACTGAATTTTCACCTGAAGTTCTAAATTTTAAAATTGATACTTACAAATACTAAAATGGTGATTCATGCTCAAATATGCACTATTACTTCCCGCGTCATAACTCATATTCAGAGCAGGAGGTCAAACATTCTGTCAAACTTCAGATGTTTTTTGCGGTATGAAGGAAAACGAAATATGTTTCCAAAAAATAAGTAACTCCTGTCATCAAACACCAAGAAACATTTTTCTTAAAAATATCCTCCATTAAAAGGGAAAATACGATTACCCTATTAGTCCATTTTGAAACTTTTGAAATAGTTTCAAAACGCTAGAGTAGTGATACTATTTTTTTCGGAAAAATATTTTCCTTCATATCAAACACACCATTCAAGTTTGTGAAAGTGCTATAACAGTGTTTACTGGAAATTATATGAAATGCTGTTTATGAGCGAATAAGACTGCTTTTTGTATAAAATTCAGTTGAATCACGTAATGATATCTCACTGTCCTAAAATTCAGAGAAAAAATAGATACTGAATGCAAGCAGCTACTAACAAAACATTGACATTCTCTATTATTACGAAGAGATAATGACAAAAGCCTTTTGCTGGAGGGGAAAAAGAATACAGTCATGTTGTTAGGAGTTAACTTTTCTCAACTGGAACAAATCCTGTTCCTTAGCTACACAAAAATGGGATTATAGTTTTACGTCCTTCTATCAACTGGTCTAATCTTACAAAGGAATCCTTTTTTAAAATTTTTATTTTTGTCTCTCAAGACTAACTCGCTGTCAACTCGTATTACTAGCGGCGCCAGAATCGACCATGTTGCTTTTGCTCTTGCATACGCCTGCAACCACCAGATCAACTATGTTAAAGACCATCAAGCAAAAATATACTATAATTTCAATAAGGGGTCAAAAACAAAATAAAGTGAATAAAGAGAAAGGTCCACGGGATTGGAGAATAGAAAAGAAAAGCTTATCATAGCAGAGTGCAGACTCGAATATAGTAGGAGGCACACAGTTTGCAGCTCGAAAGAAGAGAACAGTTAGGGCGTGGCAGATCTCAAGTATGCTCAATCAAACAAAAATGCCCAGAAATGCTTTGAACAGAAATATCCACTGTAACTCTAATGCACAGCCTACCCAACAAAATAAATAAGAACCTTTCAAGATAAATTAACTAGAAGCCTAGGAAAACAATGTATGTGCCTTATAGAGATCCAATGCTTCTTGGAGCTCATTCAAACTACTTCCATTCTTTTCAACTAAGTTTAGAACTAGCACTCTTTTCATTCTCTTTTTTCTTTTTTTGTTGGGGGTGGGCGGTGGGGTGGGGAAGGGAGAGGTTAAGACTACCACCTCTCTGGTAAATACTAAATATGGAAAATCTCATCAACCACTGGCCCCTGGGGCAAAAGGGGACTAAAACAACCTCTAGAAGAGAAAGCAGAAAAAACGCGAGAGTCGCAGCCCAAATGGCTACCACTATTGGGGATTATGACAAATAAGAAACACTTTATGTTTCCAATGTTCAAGGTAAAGTTAGATTAGACCTGTAATCCCCACCCCCCACCCCACCCCCCAAAAAAAAGAAAAACAATAGAGAAGAAACTTGTATTCCTAACATTTGTTTCTCTCAAGAGGAGAAAGGGCGGGGGAAGGATATGAAGAGACAAACTTCATGAGTAAAATTCAAGACAAAAATCAGAAGCATCCTAAGTTCCAGGTGTTGAGGATTTGGAATGCAATTAAATAGCTAGCAAGAACTAATAAATACAACAGAGGAAAACTTGACCTTTGGTAATCCTTGGACCGCTCAATGAACTCCTTCGGAATATCACGTCCTTGGTATGAAGCTAATACAGTTCGGATATCAGCTGGCCTATGTTTAGCAACATCTGCACTCAAAGTTAAGTAGTCATTAACAGTGACCTTGCCGTACTCCCAAAAGTGAAGACAAGATTAGGGTACGTTATACTTATGAATGTGCTTACATTCAAGAAACGGAATAAGATCCAAAAGCACAGTATCCTCCGCCTCTCCTTTCCATGGTTTTATTTCTATGCAATTTTCTGGCTGAAGACTACTTTCTAGTGCATGTCCACTCACATATATAATTCTTGATGGATCCCGATTCAGCTTGGAAAGATCCTGCCAAAGAAGCACGCGCCAAAAAAAGGATTCACAATTTTTGCCATTTGCAAGAAGTAGAACAAGGGAAGACAGAGGTGCAAAATGAGTTTTTTTTAAAAGGACTAGAAAAAACGAGAAAGACATCTTTTTTTTTTTGATGACCAAGAAATCCGTCTGGGACCGATCCTTTGGACCAACCGCAGCCTTCGAAACTCGGTGGATAATGGGCCCGCCCCTCTACCCTTCTCCACTTAAATACCAGGCTTTGCTTTGCATGGAGTGGGGGCTTGAACTTGTGACCTAAGACACAAATCCACCACCCTTTGCCACTTGAGCTAGGCCTTGGGGGCCTAAAGAATATCTCAGAGAATGTACATGCACTAGTAATTACACGTGATAGAAATATCAACATTACAAGGATGACAAGGAATGAGAATAATCAACTACTCGGTGCATGGTCTTACTCAGCCAAGCCCTGCCATCAAATTGTAGATGTTTTCGGTGTTTCCAACAGGCTAGGGTAAAGAGTCAAACAACCTATTAAGAGAAGGCCAGCATTTGCACATTAATTCAAAAAAAGAAAGATGCTCTATCTTTTGAAAGCTAAGCCAGAAGCTAAAGCCTTTCGACTATGCATAGTTCAAGAAGTTTACAAGTGGCTAGATTCTTACTGAGTTTCTATTACCACGGTCTATATGAGAAATTCATTCACCCCCTGAAATGTTAATGTATTATGTGAAAATACTGCCAAAAGGCATAGCCTGATTTGGTCCTTGCTCAGCAGGGCCTTTTTTGCTGTAACCTCTCAGTGAGATGTAAAATAGGAATCTATCGCATTTTATTATGCAAAACTGACACAGGACAACTTAACTTTACTTCCTGAATCCTATATTTCAATTTGTCTCCTTCAGCCTTTCTAAAATATCAACTAGACGTAACCTGTTTAATTTGCATGCCTCTTGATTCTTTCAAACTTGATCAAGCCTCCCCTAAGTTCCAATAACACCCTCCACTCTCTCTTTATCGAAAGACGAAAAAAGGAGATACAAAGTACATAATTGTCCACTAGAGATGATTTAAGAAGCAAATGCACAAAAGCAATACATGCTTGTCACAAAATTTCAGTTCGTTTACTCATATACAGATGAAGGACACTTTTTGCTCTTCATTATTCGAAACTCTCAATTTTAATCAAGTATCTAAACACAATGCATCATCAATGTTATGCTTCTACTCACTCTCTTTTTTCTTAAATCAATTAAAGGTATTTTCTATTAGAACTGCCATACTAAAACAATGTTAACATATATCAAGGATTAGCTATTAAGTGAAGAGAGTGCGACAAATACAAATAATCAAAGACTTATAGCCCGTTTGGCCAAGCTGCAAAAATCAGCTTATTTTAAGAAGTGCTTTTTTTCAAAAGTGCTTTTTCACAAAAGTACCTTTGGTGAGAAGCAGTTTGTGTTTGGCTAATTAGTTTGAAAAGCACTTCTGAGCAGCAATTAGTGTTTGGCCAAGCTTTAAAAAACTACTTCTAAGTGTATTTTTCTCAAAAGTGCTTCTCAAAAAAGTGCTTTTGGAGATAAGCTACTTTTTTCTGCTTCTCCTCAAAAGCACTTTTTTTACTTCCAGAAGCTTGGCCAAACACCTCAATTTTTTGCCAAAAGTGCTTTTGGCAAAAAAAAAAAAGCACTTTTGGCCAAAAATAAGCTTGGCCAAACAGGCTATTAGTCTAGAACATTTAGAGGATGAAGCTAAGAAACATACTCTGTAATGCTTGCCATCAACATATCTAGTTGCACCTCTTGACAGCCTATAACGGATGCAGTGCTTTGGATCCAATCTTTCGATAACAGGATCAACATACTGCAAAACCACAAGCAGAAGTTTTGATTGCATAACTGAAACAACACTTAGAACACACTATGAAGGAAGTGAAAGTGACGGTTACCATGTTCAGTTGATCAGAGTATACAACGATCTCAAAATATTGAGCTAAATGTTCCAAAAAAGCATCAACCCCAGGTCTTTTGAATGTTCTCCAGCCTCTGTCACGCTTTTAAAGGACTACGGAAGTCAGTAGTCATGAAGGAAAAGTTAAACGATGGAAAATCTGAATGCTTTGAGGGGGAAAAAAAGCTATATCAGGAGGAAAAACCACAAGGAAACTCTAAACTGAATTGCCAAAGTATCGCACTAATTACTAATAATGATCCATAAAATAATTAAAGCAAGTCCAAGCCACTAATTCACAAAAAATTAACAAGTTCATGACTTGGATTTCTACCTTCCAATCAGAGTATATCAATGTCTCGCTAAGATCAAGAACAAGAGTAAAGACATGCTGCTCCAGTGGGTGCAAATCTGGCAGGAGCTGGTCTGATGTTGGTTCACTAAAACCCTAAAACAGAGCACATAGATCTGAGGTGAATTTGGTGAAGGATGAAGCATAAGAAGAGAGGGATTAAAAACTAAAATTGCATGTAAAGGACTCAACTCGAACTTGCTCCTCGGTCAACCGCCTCAGGTCAATGTAAAACTCAACTAGCTTGGCAGGCACTGGAATATCAAAGAAATGAACCAATACAACAGCTTTAAAAGAGACTCTGGGGCTTTAAGTTAATAATTAACAAAAAGTAGGGAACGCGTGTAAATAACATCATACACCACAGCATTAAGAAAACGTATTACAGCATGTGATTCTCCAATAAAACCCAGCAAATTACTAAGCAGTAGAACATGTGTTTTACTTTTTTCATACTAGCAGTGGGATGTGCAATATACTTAAACCCGCGAACTACCCACATCCATGTGCCTTTAAATCACAAGCTCCAATAAGTCAATGCACGGATAGAACCATAAATCAGTTACACTCTACACTACAAACTGCAGGATAGACATCCACCTACTGTGCAGCAGAAACTTTCATGTGCCGAAAATGAGATTGCATAATCTGAAGCTAGTACGGACTTTTGCAGGCCACAATACACTGATCAGGTCATAGAAATGTCAAGCAATTTAAAATTAACAAACTAATGCTTGAATTCTATCATTGAAATGGAAAAGCATTGCTGAAAACACGAGGATGTCTATAATAATAGTCTTGGTACCTAGCTTGTGTTTCCAGTTTTAAAAAAAATTATGGTATAGAATACACATAAGTCATAACAAATACAAAGTGTTGTGATAGCATAACTTATACTTAGTTGACATGAATGTGGACAAAAAGCCACACAAATAAGAAGAAGCAACCCCTTCTTGACTAAAAATAAGAGATGTGTAGAATAGACAAGTCAGAATCATCACCAACCTGTCATTGCCGAGGAGTATAATAAAGCTTGAAATTTCTGCACGGAAAAAGGAAAACAAATTAGTCTCTTATTCTACTCATGCTCAAATACCACTGCCAAAAGATTATATAGGTAAAAGATGAACAAATGCATATAATACCAAGCATATAATCTATGAGCTGTTTATTCGTGTAGTATGTGATTTAGGCTCTAGAGTTCGTTGACAAATCCTGTCATTTCACTTAGATTCCCTTTCAAATTTTGAGGGGTCCATGATTAGCAATATGTTGCAAAAGATAAGCACAAACAGTGAACGTGAATCAAATGGATCAGTTGAAGCTGAGAAGTGCATAGCGCTGAATTTGCAATAAGTAGGGCTAACCTTCACCCACAACCATACTAAGCAGAATATAAATGTGTATGTGAGAGCGCGCATGTGCATGTGTGTCAAAAGCTTAATTTCAAACAAGCAAAAATTCACCATAAGCTCACAATAAGCAAAATAAAGCAGTGCAAGACAAGACTCACATCGGTAGCAGATGCATCATCCCCAACAGTATATTTCGCAGATTCACGCAAAGTTTTGGTCTTATCCTCAATTTCATCCAATGTGTATGCTGCAGATAAAGGATAAGCCAAAGGTTGTGAATTATATGCACGAGAAGTCGAGAATGAAAAATATTGATAAATCTGTCAGACCAACTAGGTTTTTTACCAAGAAGTATCCCCTTACCTCTTGTTTCCGCATAGACAATCTATATACACATACAGTCCATTTCTAACACTTGACCAAACTCCACCTTGAGCAACATAAACTAACAAAAGAGCAACTACAAATGATCTCGTAAAAGTTTTTGGCTTCCCCCAACAAACATGTTAACCAATACCACATGGAAATTTAGCTACAAACTAAGCAGTAATACTTGCTTCACAGCTGAAACTTCGCATGAAGAAAACTAACTGGAGAGTTATAAAGACATGACTACATCACTAAGCAAATAAGAGATACAGGGAGATTAGAACGATAGCCAGATCCAAAGTTGGACGGATAAAACCTGGAACATGTTGCTGTGCTTCCAACTAGTTTTATTTGGTATAGTAAAACTTTATGAAATAAGCTATGCTGATACAGATAACGCAAACAATAACTTTCCTTTTCCTGGAGGTCTGCAACTTTCACTGAATTTGATAAGACCAAAACTAAGATGTAACACGTCAGCAAGCATTGCTACATCACTACAAGGAACACTAACAAATCCTTCCACGAAGAGTCAAAATTCACTCTTATGCTATCAGACCACAAAATTGAACATTTCAGAGTTTACTTTAGAGAACAATTCATTCCGTATCACATAAAGTATTTTCATTAATATTTCACGATCCCGAAACACATTCAATCCCAAAGTATTTGAAGTCCGCTATAAGAATCCTCTGCATCAATTGCATACTATTCAGCTCACTTCACTTCATTCTATGCTCAAATGCATATGACAAATCCAATATCAACTTTAAAACATCTTAAAACCCCAATACAATGAAACAATGCCAATAATATCCCAAAAAAAAAAAAAGCAAAAAATAAATAACGAACCAGTAGGGTAACCAGCTGTGCCAACACTCCCTGTGACGGCAGCAATAGCCCTATAGTTAAAAGAACACCACGGATTCTTCTCAGTTACACACACACATCCACTTTTCGAGCTCTTAGAGAATTTCTATGTGACTGCTTCACCCACACACACACATTCATTCACACACACAAACGTGTGGGCACACATAAACTTTAGCGAACTCTTAGAGGATTTCTTATGTGACTACTTCGCGCACGCACGCACACATATATACACTAGATTTCAAGTTGAGATCGACTACAAGAATCCTAAGTATCCATTATCCACTACATTTCATTCAGCACATTTCACTTCATTTCAAAATTAAAAGCATGCTCCCATGCAGATGAATATCAACATCAAAACGTCCAAATTCCCTAATTCAAGCTAGCGTAACACCTACCTAATAACAAACCGAAAAATATTTCAAAAAAAAAAAAAACTAACCATAGCTAGCGTAACCAGCAGTGGCAACACCACCAGTGACGGCAGCAATAACGCTATACTTAAGAAAACTCCACCGATTCTTCTCAGTTCCAGAAGCTTCCGGATTAGGAGGAGACTGATTCTGAGGTGGCGGAGGCTGATCTTTGAGGAGAGAAGATGAAGAGATTATTGGTTCCTTTGGAGGTTCTGTAGTTACATTTGAAGAAAATCGGCGATTACTTCGTGAAATTATTGAGAAAATGCGCGATTTCGATCGAGCTATAGCGGACATTTTTGAGGAATTTAGAGCTCTAGGGTTTAAGCGTAGAGGACGAAGGTTTTACAGAGGAAAGAAGACGAAGATTTAGAGCTATGCCCTTTTTATTTAATAAAGTTATTTGTTAGAGCTCTGAGGTTTGAACAAAATTAAGTTTAGACCCTTAATCTTTCTGAAATAATAATAAACATGCCTTATTTTTTATGAAAAGAAATTGACATCCAAATATTGAGAAAATAATCTCATAATGATCCCTTGCAATTTGAATAGAAACAAATTCCTTTTTATCTAGCTCTTGTGTTATAGTTTATTTGAAATGATCGTATAACTAAAAAACATGCGTCATGAACTAATAATCATAAAATCGACCTTCCTCAAAGATAATCTTCGCACCATATACCGTTGAAATACACACATACGTAAGTGAAAATAAAATAGTAATTCCTCTATTTCAACTTGTTTGGTATAATTTTACATAACATGAAGTTAAAAGAAGATATTTCGGCATATAGATAGATATTAATGAAATATAGATATCAGCAAGTATTAGATATCGAGTGTTTATTTTTGATTTGAAGCTTAAAACAAGTTGTGTCATCGACATAATTAAGATATAATCATTTTGATACATATCGCACGGTTTTTATTTATTAATTAATTTTTGCCGTTAGGAATAGGAACGGCAAATTATCCTATGGCTTTCTTTTTTACTAAACTTAGAGTTAACGTGTAATATGGGACGATCTTTCCTTCCATTATGTGTCCCGTAATCATATTAGAACCTCAATGAATTGAGATTTGGGTCGTCTAAGGTCTATTAAAAAGGAGAGTGTTCGATACTAGAATTTTTTTTTATTTCTAGAGTTTGATTCTGATATATCAGGTTTAGGCTGAATGGATCCTATTCATCCCATCACAATTTTTGGAGGTGACTAAAAACGACTCACGATATAAGAAAATGCTTATATTTTCTTACTCGATGAACTAACAAGTATTTATTATGTCGGTATATATAATTTAAATCGTGAACTAAATCGCCCCTCCCCGGTCCTACACATGAATTGCCATATTAAAGAAATGCAGCTGAGGTTAACTCTAGATTAGAATATAGAAAACCAGAAATTTAGATTTCCAGCTTTTGCTTCACATAATCACACATGATTTAAGAAGCAAAAGCTTCCTCTCTTACCAATTTTCTTAGGTCGTAAATTTTCATTTTTCTAATTTTTTTTTTTGTCAACAAACTTGAGCATCTGTTGCATTTATTGTTGTGGTTTTTAAACATATAGGGTTTAGAAAGTTATGTATAATTATCATACTGTATAATTATTATTTTAATAATTGTACAGTCAAACCTCTCTATAATAGTATCGTTTGTTTTAGATATATTTGAATGTTATAGTGAATTGCTGTTATAGAAAATATATATTATAACAGAACACGAAATTTGGTTCTGAAAAAACTTGACTTTTATAGTGAAATATTGTTATATAAGGATGTTGTTATAGAGAAGTCTGACTGTATAATATGATAATTATATTGTATAATAATTATAACAATAACCTATTTATTTGCTTGAACATAAGTACAATGTAATTTTCACTGTCATATTTGTGTATGTCTTTACATTGCCAGAGTAAAAATTTGGAAAGAAAAAAAATATTAATATGATATTTTTCAAAGGATATTTATATAGATGAAAACGGATATATTATTAATAATAAAATTTGTGATACAAATTGACTATAAAAATTAAATTCCAAAGCTTTCTTCTATTTTCTTAACTTGAAAGCATGTTAAAATTACTTTAACAGTCTTTAATTTTTTTTTTTTTCATGTGTTCGTATTAGAAATACTATAAGAAAATATGGCCTAAAAAAGATAATTAAAGTATTAATTTTGATGTGATATTATAATTAGGATATGAATATTAATATGCTATAATTAGTTTCCTTTTGATATTGACCGTATATTACGCGGGTACTAATACTAGTAATTATAATAATAACCTATTTATTTGCCATAACATAAGTACAATACTGTCATGTTTGGTTGAACAAGTATAATTATATAGATAAGTTTACCGTGTGACACACATATACACGGTCAGACTTCTCTATAAACAACATTCCTATATAACAATTGTTCACTATAAAAGCCAAGTTTTTCTCATAACCGATTTTTTTTTAATTTATATTTACCTCTCTATAAAAAGTTTTTTTACTTATAACAACAACATCCATACTTATAGCAGAACGTTCTTTGTAAATTACCTCTATATAACAGCCATATAGAATCTTTAAGATTACTAATAAGAATTCTAAAAATATGCGTACGGTCTTTTCCATTGAACAAAGTTTCTATCTTGCATAAGATACATATTTTCCACTGGATACCTTTTGCTGAAATTTTGAACATGAATCTTCACAAATTCAAGCGTTACTCGGTAGTAAAAAATAAAATATATGAAACAACTACAATTACAAAATTCTTCCATCAATATGGAAAGATTTTATTTTTTTAGTAGCTTTAAAATATGTGCATTAGAGTTTAAATCGTTGTATGTTTAGTTGTGAATTTGGTAATAATGTATTAGCTTTCGTCAATATTTACCTAGTGAAATATGCATATCTTTTGAGATTTTAAATCTGAATAATTTTCTTATCTTTTATATGTGACATTAAAAAAAGAAAAATAATTAATTTTTGAATAAGTTTTACCTATAATAATGCTATAAGTGTTCAGTTATATATATACCAATTTTAATCCCCAACTTTCAATACTACTTATTATTTAACTACCCACAACCCTATAAATAGGAGGCTTGTTATTCTTTACAATTTTATTTTATTTATTGAAATGCTTACGTGTCAATTTAAAACATAAAAAAGACCAAGCAAAGGGCAGTGGAGAAATTAAATAAAGTTTATTTTCAATCACTGGAATAACGATAATCCAAAAAAGATATTCTCATTCTTGTCAACGGAGCTGAAAATAACAGCAAAAATGACTCTGTAAAGTTGCGATTACGCTTCACAAATTGAAGAATAAATGCAGCTGTAGCTAATAAACAACAAATTTATGATAATTACAACTCTTTTTTTGCAGTTTAATTTGTAATCGAAGCAGAATTTCAAGCAGAAGCATATTCCATTGGAGTAGAACAAGTAAGTTGCTCTGTTTTTTTCAGGTAATTCAAGCTAATGAACAATTTTTGTAGAATTATTATTTTGTTTAGATCTATTAAGTATATCTTAGAGTATATGTGCTGATCTTGACAGTTGACGCTACAGTACTCTTTCTTTTAGTTTATCTTTTCCTCTTTGTTTACCGTTGCTTTATGAGAAAATTTTGCTGAATTATGCTGGAATTGACTGCTGAATAACTAGGTTTTTGATTTGTGAACGAGGGCGGATCTACATTATGAGGAATGCTTTTGGATTTGCAAAAAAATTTAAAAATATATAGAAGTATATAATAATTCAACCACTCTAAATGACTAAATCCATTGACTTTTGACTCTACATATTGAGTTTACCTCTGCTTATAAATTATGATGCCAAGGGATATGTGGACGAGGAATGTTGCAAATTTGCAATGCAATTCTCAATTTTTTATATTTAGCTAGCGTTTTGTTCAAAAAGTTGAATAAGAGTTTTTGCAAAAAAAAAAAAAAAAAAAAAAAAAAAAAAAATTTTGCAAGAACAGTTTTCCAACTGAAAGCCAAGAAAGAAAAGATTTTAGTACTGAAAATCTTTCTTTCTTGGCATAAAATGAGATTTGTTGTTAGTATCCAAGATTTAAACTTGATAAGTTTAGACTTTAAAATTTTTAATCATGAACTTGTGTAATTTTGAAATTATGGATTCATAATTAATATTTGCTAACTTTAGTCCTTTTTACATATATATATATCCATGTTTAGTGTCGAAAATACTGGGTTCAGTTGAACTTGTACCCCACTGCTTGTTAGTGGACCTTAGCTTCACTCATAACTAGTATAAACCCAAGCCACAGTCGTCCTTTGTTTGTGAATCTGACTACCAACAAATTTAAGCTGGAGGAACGCTTAACACCTTCCATTTGCCACACATCTTTCTCCAGAGGTTTTGACTTTTGATCCTGTGGGATGCAAAAGAAACTATGCTAAAATAGAAAAGCTCTTCTAGTGTAAGACGGATTATATTGCTCTCGGGGCTTTGGTCTAGCGGTAAGAGTGCAACGCGTGATGTGTGTATTAGGCACACTCATGTGTTCGAACTCCGCCGCAGACATAAGCCTGGTATTTAACCGGAGGCAGGTAAAAGAGTGGGCCCATTATCTACCGAGTTTTGAACTGACTGGATCGCCCTCGGGAATTTCCTGTTTATCCAAAAAAAAGTGTATAAGACAGCTGACATCTTTCAGCTGTTAAGTTTAGCCATTCCTTTTTCCATTTAAATCTGAAACAATTTGGAGTTAGCTCAGTCGTTTGGGACTTCCAAAATATTTGAAAGATAAGTTCCCTTTGTACTCAGCCTTTTCAGCATAGTCACCAAACATATTAGAAAATTCATCAATCTCTAGCAAGAAGCAGCATGCATGTGACCGCACAGCTAGCAGTTACCTCGTAAAGATTGCGATCAATATTAGCATCGAGTGGACCAGTCTATACCTCCATATCCTAGAATTAGAATATAAGCAGAATGCAATCTGCAACCAGGCGAGTTTGTAAAATAATGCATAGGAAGACCAGACTGATTTATGCTGGAAATTTAAAAAAAGATGGTAATCTAGTATGTGACATTGTCATAGGCCTTAATAATGCCAACACAAGTTGCATTACAGTTGTGTGGTATTAACAACAACAACAACAACGACCCAGTTGTGTGGTATTATGTACTGAAAACCATAATTTTTTGCGAATGTAGTATGCTTATGAGTTCGTTATAAGTTGCACCTATCCAGTCTTCGACTCCTTTCACACTTTAATGCTAAGTTGTGTTTCTGAAAAGCAAGGTGCAATTGTGTATGAATAATGTGAGAAGATTGACTTAATACATTATTTTACAATCTTGCTAGTTTTCCTTTTTTGGCTTAAAAG